AATCGGGGATTTTACACGTGTCATGTCGTGATATGGGTAAGAGCGCCCGGACCGTGCAGTCATGTACACGTGTCACTCGATTTTGACCTTTTCAGATAACAGCATGTGGTCGCACATTTTCAATATTTTCAATGTCAAGCAACTGCCTGATGCAAATGGCAATATAGTTGAAAGTGCAAAAGAGAGGGGAAGGGGGGGGAGGGGGGCGTTAGGGCCTCTGGCCCACCGTTGGATGGGGAACGCTTCTGATGCTCCGACAAGCACCTTCGTGGTACAGGCTCTGCGCCACGCCGACCTGGCTTCGGGGTTGCGGATCATGGGCAAGGCAATCCGGGTCCGATCCCGATCCCGTGGTCCTGACCCGTGTACGCCTCGTCACCGAAGGCAGCGGCGGCGTAACGACACTTGTGTGCATCCAAGTCAGCGTGCCCACGTGTCCACGTGTTGCCTCTGTACTCGTGTGGTGCGTGGGCGGTGATGGGGAGCGATTCCCTTACAGCTGCTGTAAGCAGGGTTTTTGTCGTTTTTTCGGGGATGAGACTGTTCAGTCGTGTGCAGTTTCCGTTACTGCGCCCCGCCGCCAGCCTTACCCTTCGGTCGCCCCGCTGCCGCCAACCAACATACTCCCCCTCTCAATTCCTGCACTTATTCCCCACCCTCGCCACCGCTCACGTCCTCTCCCTTCCCCCCCCCCGCCCCCCCCGCCCCCTCGCCCTCAACTCGCGGCACTACGAGGCAACCGTCCGTTCGTGCGCGCCCCAGTTTCCCTCCCGCGTCGCTTGAGGCTTGCGTCTACCCCTCTCCCCGCCCGCCCCGCCCACATGGCCGACTTCAAGGACAAGGGGAACGAAGCCTTCAAGGCAGGCAATTACCCAAAGGCCATCGACCTTTATACCGCCGGCATCGAAACCGAACCTAACAATGCCGCCCTCTTTTCCAACCGCTCCGCCGCCTATCTCAAGCTGGAGGACTTCGCAAAAGCCCGACGCGACGCGGAGATGTGCATCGAGCTAGACGTCAAGTGGTCAAAGGTATGTCACAACCACCCCGCACCCCTCCCGCTGCCGCCCCCACTTGCCCGGGAACCATCCCCTCTAACCCACGCGCCCCGCGCTCTCCCTGCTCTTTGCCCGCGAATTCCCTTTGCCTCAGGGCTGGTGGCGAAAAGGCACAGCCCAGCTGCACGACGCCGAGTACCACGCCGCGAAGGCCACCTTCCAGCAAGGCCTCAAGCACTGCCCAGGCGATGACAACCTCCTCAAGGGCCTGGACAAGGCCAGCAAAGGCGTCGAGCAACTCGACAAGATCCAGGGCGCGGTCGACGATTTCGACCCCGACGGCCCTTCCACCCGAGACCCGCGCACCGACGATAACTCACCTGACAATCCCGACCGTACCACCGCCTTGCCGGTCCCCGCCAAAGTCCAAGATCCAGTCGACATCTTTCCAGGCGACGCCGCTACGGAGATTGACCGCATCAAGTCGGCCCCAAATCATTACGCCGTCCTGCACGTGTCTACCGACGCGGATAACGTCACCCTCAAGAAAAATTACTACACTTTAGCTAGGATGCTGCATCCGGACAAGTGCCAGCTGGACGGCGCGGACGACGCCATGACCGCCGTGTCACAGGCATACGATACCCTCACCAACGTCGTCAAGAAGACCTTGTACGATCAATTTTTGTCCCAAACGGGCGCCGACAACGAGCACCCCAACCAGACATATCAAGAATGGGAGAGCCGCCAGCAACCAGTCCAGTTGCCCAAGTGGCTCAGCGTCCTGCTCGAGATCAAAGGCTGCGGATGGATCCTTGCCATTCTGGTCTTTGCCCTTCTACTCCCTTTTGTCATCGTCCTTCTCGTCGTGTACGTCATCATCGCAATCTTGACACTGCCTATCAGACTCATCTACAGCCATTGTTTCCCAGAAAAATATGCTCAAATGACAGAGCAACGGGAACGAGATCGCGTAAAGATGGAGGAGGAAGCACAGGACCGCATCTTTGCTCACGTGTAGCAGGGCGTTCAGCGTGTGGGGGCAGGGGGCGGGGTCGGGAGTGCAGGTTAGCGGAGTGTGGGTTGAAAGGGGGGTGGGAGGTACAGCATGGGCGGTCTCGGGGATGCGTTCATTTCGAGAACACGCCATTGGGAAGTCTTCGTGGTTAGTGCTGAGCGCGGAAAGCGCGGCTTGACGACCGACAAAAGACGAGCTCTTCACCAACGTGTCTGGGTGCTAGTGTTGTACTTTTTTCGGTCATTGGAGTATGGTTTCGTGGGGGCGAAGGCATGTAGATTTATTATAGGGGCGTTAGTCGCCCTCTCTATCGCGCCCAGGCATTTACGTAAGAAAGCATCCGAATGAACAATGTGCCTCTAAAGCAAAATGGAAAAACGCCGAGGGCGTTTGTTTTGCGCTGGTAGTGAAGACGTTCGTGGTGGCTTAAGGCGGACACGGTTATGTACGTGGGTGAGGATGACGACAGAGAGGATGGAAAAGGAGCATCCTCGTCGGAGGGTGTGCGAGGGGGGCATTGGATTACTGCAATCATTTGAGACCTGATCTACAATTAAACAAAACTGCACGGTGAGATGGCGCAAGAGCCACCAGGATACGCCGAGGTGGAATTGACGTGCGAGCGAGCGAGGCCTGATCCTTGCAGGAATACGTGCTTGCGATATTTGGACGCGAGACTACCTCTATCGTATGGCGCAACGGGTGGCGCTCTTCTGGTTTCCGTCACGCGCGCTACGTCGTGCTGCAGTCGAGAAATACAAATGTGTAATCAGGAGGCGTTGCGAAAGCGCGACGACGCCTATTGCCGATCACGCCTCGCAGGAGGCGCGGGGGGCAGTACATGAACATGGTAAGGAGAAACGGAACAAGATGTGAATGATGATGATGGAGCAAAACGACAGCATCCACAGACGCAGGACGTGTTGTATCGGGGGCGACATTCTTCTCTCCCGAGAGAGAGCGGACGGCAAAGGCAAACGTCATGGCACTGTGTGCTAAAATGCGGCAGGCTGCATGTTTGCCGCTACCGGAAACGGACCTCAGACTGATCTCAGTCGACAAAAGAGCCTGCCGTACACAACGGGCAGAGAATGAGGACAGAGGCGAACGTGGAGCATGTGGCGTTTCTGGATAGGGCGATATGTGGGCGATATGTGGGCGCTGTGCCCTTTTTTTACTACACTGTACCATGCTGTAATTATGGAAGGCGCTGACACTGGTGAGATGCATTTTGCCACTACAGACTCCTTAGCTGACGTAGTGTAATGCCGTGTGTAGTATTCATGTAAGCACCGAAAACTGCTCGACGAAGTAGCTGAGTAATTCGTCGGGTACCGTACTGCCCAATAGCACACGAACATCATGGAGACTGGCGCTTGCATTGTTGCAGCCAGCAACTCTATGGATTGCACTGGCGCAAAACAAATCTCCTTCTGAATTGAAGTGCACTTCAAGATATCACAGAATTTACTCAATATTGACCAATTGCTTTGATACACGTGGAAACGCAATCGCTCTGGCCACCTTAAACAGGCACATCCGAATCCACACACCCCCCCGGTGTCTCCAGGTTCTTTTTGCCTTTCCTGTGCACGTTTTGCAGACTAGTAATGCTTCTTTCCACTTTTGGACCACAGAATCTCTTTTGTCGAAGCCAGTCATAGCAGTAGACCCAGAGGGTTTCCCTGGATGGAGTATCTTGCCAAACTGTATGCCAAGGTTGCACCATTTGCGCACCTGCAACGCCGCGAATCACCAACCTGTCGGAGGCAGAGCATCTACAAGCACACGCGACCATACTTTACCACGCCCGGTGACTTTCTGAATTAACGCTGTGTTAACAGATGAATTGCCACACATTCACCTTCATCTACAAAAATCAGAAATTCCCATCCCAACTCGTCGCGGAAGATGTTTTCTCTGCCATCCAATCAGGAGGTCTGCGAGATGTGACAAGTAGAAAACAGTCATAAAACAGTTTTTCGGCAAGCCATTTTACAACAGTCATCGCCTGCAAAAGGAAATGAACAACTTCAGAGGCCAGTTGGATGTCCACATGTAGAAACGTCAGTCACTCGCGTACACACACAACTTCGAAAGAGCTTTTTTTTTTCCAAATGAAGCACAGATTTTCCGTCCCAGTCGCTTCGAAAAGATGGTGCCTCGGCAATCCTCTCTTTACGTCACTTAATGATTTCTTTTAGAAGAGCCGATCGACTTTACGTAATTTCTTGGCTTGTGTTTATATGAAGATTAGCAGTTTGAGCTTTTCAACTGCGTAATGGTATTGCTTTTCGATGGCCAATACAAGCATAGTTTGCAAGTTATGCTCCTACATTTTTGTCATTTATATATTGTTGATTTCACACATAGAATGCAAAATAGAATGAACATGCGAGGAGGTGTTGCCCTAATAATGCATTATTATTTTATCTCCCTCAACATCCATTGTACATTCAAAGGACATAACAAGTTTCAAGTTGGCTACGCTCTTTCTTCAAGTTTTAGGGATGCATAGAAAATGAAAGGGGTTTGAGCAAAAGCCGTTGGTTTTTCGTGCTCCAAGCAAATCGGAATCAAAAACGCAGACAAACTTTACTTCACATCAGGTCAAACACTACTGATATCAATGGGATCATTCAACATGTCGATTGCACTACACTATGATGGTACTCTTTTCAAGACGAGAGAAATTGAAGCAGCGAGGTATGCAAAACCCCTGTTGTCTCTTGAACAATATCTGTTCTTAAAACGGATCTCCAAATCTCCTCTTGTCAGAAGATGAGTGCCCGTGCTTAGAGCCACTCCCAGATCCATGCTTGGAGCCGCTCCCAGATCCAGACCCAGAGCTCTTCTTGCTCTTCTTTTTATCTGAAGAGGACTGTCTTCCCCCAGGTTCAAGAATTGAAGAAAGTTCATCCACTTGCTTTTCAAGGTCCTCGATTCGAGCAGAGTTTTCCATGATTTTGCCGTACATCTCTTCCGTCTCTTTCTTCTTTCTCTCTCTAGCTCGCCTCGCACTTTCGTTGTTCTGACGCCTCCTTATCGCGAGCCTCAACTCCGCAGGGGCATGACGGACGCTCCTAGGAAGATCTTCAGATGTGGTTGATGACTGATTGCGAGACGATCCTGAAGTCTGAGATTGGCCTGCCATTGCGTTGCTATCCTGATTAGTTCCTGAAGACCTTCTGGTTCTATCTTGATCTGGAGTAGACGAATTTCTTGAAGCAGACGCTCCTGTGCTTGGATTCGGTTGGCTTGATGCTGTAGATCTCCTCTCCGGTGTCGATGGCGAGTCTTGAGAACTTTGCCTTCTTTGCTCTCTCTTTCTGGGAGAGTCGGATGACATACGAATAGATTCACCTTCTTATAGAGGTACGGGATCGAGGATAGCGGGAGAGATAGAGTGAGGTATTCCTGAAGGGCAGCTGATGTATAGAATCTTTCACTAACGAGGAAGGGATTATCCTCCTGTATTCTGCTGTTGATGGTTGCCTCTTGCGTTTTGGAGAGGAGCGCTTCCACTTACTTTGTTTTATACTTGTGCCTTGTCGGATAGACCTTCACCCCATCGAGTTTTTGTTCATGCCTTACTGTACAATCGAGTGAAAGAGTTTAGTGCAATGGAACGCGAAAATGGCGAGGTCGCTCTGGACTTCACACGTATTGCCCTCCTCCGTATTATGGGGAAAATTGTCTTGACAGGCTCCATCAGAGGAGTAAGCAATCCCGACGGGGCTTTCCCAAAAAAGCTAAACCAGACATAATTACTGTCCTGTTCTCGCGTTCGTCGATGCGGCTTTGAAAACCAAGGAGGGAAAGTAAAGACAGGACTAACGAGCATCTGCGTTCTCTATCACAGCAATGACAAGGGAAAGTCTGATCCGAAAGGATGTGACTCAATTCCCCTTTCTTTACACTCCCGATCGCATGAACTTTGGAGACAATCGAGCGATAGAACAACGTCAGAAGTTTTGCGTGGCAAACACGAGTACAGTAGTTACTGTTAGCTTGGGAAAGGGGTTGGCAAGTAGGAAAGAAAGTATTCCTCTCTTTGCAGACACTTATTCTCTCGAAATGAAGTTGTTTTTCATGGAGAGAAGAACTGGTGACAGTTCAACAACATAGGCGACTTGATCGCGTTATCCCTCATGTTGAGGCAGCCGGTCGTGTGGCTCGTTTATTCCCGCACGCTGCGGGCGGGGTCGGCACGCTGCTGGATTCCGCTAGGGTTAGAAATGGTGACGCGAGCGGTTTCAAAGCGATTCACTGGCTGCTAGGCCTCCCGAAAGAAATCTATATTTGATGTTATTCAATAAATAGAGTGACATGCCATAGTATCCGCGACGGATTTTTCTTCTTCGACCAGGTACTTACATCGCAAAACGCTTTCATAGGAGATGTTCTGAGAAGCCGAGAGGTGTTTTCCAGAATGCTGGGCTTATCATCTCCTCACACACTTCTAGCTTCAAGATACCCAGCGATTCAGTCTTCACAGCGAGAAAGCCGTCGTAGGTTCTTGTATGAATCCAGTCAACAAAGACCGGCTTACAAGACTATATTCGCAAAGCAAGGACTTGTATAGCAAAACGCGATAAGGAACGGCCTAAATCGCGACAGAAATCAGAGATACTTTACAAGTATCAGGCAGGGCGAGTGTCACGAAATGACGTATCTCGTGAGGCATATCGTGAGGCATATCGTGACCTGCAATGACAACCTATGAAAGGATATAAACGACTGTGCGCTTTGTATGCGAGCAAAGCCATTTTGAGTCCAATGAGTGAAGGATGGTCGCATTAAAAAGTTATAAGAGATCGAAACGACTCATTTGACTTCCAGCATTCCACTCTCGGGCAGTTGTTTTCATCAGAGTCCACGCCCTGCTGAAAGCATTGTCCAATCACATTGTAAACCATACGGTACCCTTGTACTGTACAAGATTCCGGGTGCACTGGCGCATTGGAGGAGTGTTTGTCCACAAACACTAATCAGCCCACATGGGCTGATCTCAGACCAGGAGAGGGGACGCTTACATCACGACCTCTGGGTCAGTACCGTCATACCCTACTGTCTCACCATACTGAAGGCATTGGAATTTTCTCCCAGCAAATTAATTTTCCTTACTAGACGGAGCGGTTTCGTTCATTGATCCGCCTGCAGATGGGCAACCACACGGGTCTTGTCGATGATGCCTCCTCCGACCTGTAATAATTCCCTTCGCTTGTTACGGAGGCTATTCTTAACCAATGGTATCCAGAAGGAGACACATGATTCCGTTCATCCGCCATGAACTGAAAAGATAGCTACGGATACATCCTTTTGTCGCCCACCAGTTCACATTCTCACTCATTAAATTGCAATTGGAAACACGGCAGGCGGCATAGGTATGTCACGATGGAATTCATCCTTCGTGCTGGTGAGCGGGAGGAATTGATAGATGTGACAAATAGATGCTTTTGAACAAGTTCAAGCCTTGCTTTTCGTTCTCGGTACTGTCAAGAGAGAGTACCGGGCATTGGCAGCAAAGAGGCATAGCTTTTCCC